AAGAGCACTCATAGAAAGCTGGCTGAATCATACACTGAGAAAAGATACAAGTTGAAAAAAAAAAAAAAAAAAAAAAAGAAAGGCGCAGGCATGATGATCATGCCTCCATTGAATAATAATGAAAAAAAGAATCAAGAGATTTATAAAAAGATCCCCCGTTGAACCTGTGCAAAACAGATATGGCTGTCATTGGCCCTCGCTGCACTACTCTCCACATGGGCAAAAGACTATATTCCCATCTTCTAGCGAAAGATTCAGTCTCATTTTGCTTATTTGGAGAGTAGTGCAGCGAGTACCATTATGTCTCTCCTCTTCAAACATTATGGGATGGGCACACAACACGGCAGCCGGAAGTCGCCAGAAAGCAACATGGCTTGCAAAAAATAGAGAGCGAGCGAAGTGAAAGGAAACAGACAAAAGTGGGCGCACAATCAGAGAAAGGACGCCAGAAAAACAAAGGAAAGGACGAGAGAGATGAGCGCTGCTACAACAGCTTTCCAATATTTTTTTATATATTTTTTTCACTGCTATTATTCCTCGGCAAGCCAGAAAGCAACATGGCTCGCGAAAAACTGTTAACGGCTTTTACAGAAGGCTCACTCGCAGCCCATTTACACGTACGAGATTTCCGCTCCAGCATCACCCACCACTCCCATTCCTCAGAGCAAAAGAAAAGAAGGTCCCAAAAGCTAAAGAGAAGAAAGCAAGGTCCCCTCCGTTCAAAGCCGGGCTGCTCCTCACAAAAAAAAAAAAAAAAAAAAAAAAAAAAAAAAAAAACAGACAAGAAAGCAAGAGTTTAGGTTCAACCCTCGCTACAGATACGTTGCACTCATGCCCTGATATAATACCCTGCAAGCTCAACACATGCAACAAATGCCCAGGCACTTGCACACTTTCAGTCAAACCATACCTGGTGCGCGCACGGCATGCAAAAATGCAAATGCTCAGGGACTGGCGATGCAGATGCGACAGGCACGTGCACACTTTTCAGTCAAACCACACCTGGTGCACGCGACGAGCACATGCAAATGCTAAGCGACGAGCACATGGCTACACAGATGCACAGGCATGTACACACACACAGTGAAAGCGCGTACGTGGAGCGCACAACGCAATGCCATCTGTGACTGAGAAGTCGCTTCGGTCGCTAATGAAGCAACACGCACACTTCAGCGGGAAACGGACAACAGGTCCGACAAACCAAAGAAAAGACGAGTTTACCTTCTTATACAGGCAACACGGGGAACCTCAAAGCGATCGACGAAAGCAAGGTAACCCAAAAGGAAACGAAAGGAGCAGAAATGGGCAGTGGGAGAAAGAGCCATAGCGGATACAAGTCGCAAACGGATTAATGTGATTGTCAACAGGAATACAAAGACACCGCATAATGCCTCTCATCTCCTTTCCTCTACTCTCTTCTCTGTCCACAACAAAAAATGACTCCTAACGCGCTGCTGTTGCCTGAGGTGGCACTGCGGTACTCGCAACCGCGTTCGCCAACATGTAACTCCTCATAGACAGGCCCTTTGTTCTCTCAATGATCTGCTCATACCTGCAAGAACACGATCACGACATATACCACAAGAGTACGACGTCAATCACATATGGCAATAAACGTCAGAGTTGATCGACTTCTTTATTTGCTTTGCAATCAAGCGTCAAATGTCGATTATCAGCATCCCTAACCTGCAAAACTACCTCCTTGTCTTTCCAGGTGCAAAAGATTCGAGAGCAGTACAAGACCACGACGGATCAAAGACGGTCCCTCTTCACAAAAGGCACAAGCAGACGGGCCACAGAGGCAACAACCTTGTCTCGTCAGCAAGAATTAGAGCAAGACTTCATCCCTGTAGAAATTTTCACCAACTTCCGGACAGCATGTTCCACACACACATACACACACCTCTCTCTCTCACACACACACACACACACATACACACACCTCTCTCTCTCACACACACACACACATACCTCTCTCTCTCTCTCTCTCTCTCTCTCTCTCTCTCTCTCTCTCTCTCTCTCTCTCTCTCTCTCTCTC